CCTCAGAGCTCACCCACAAGGTGCATATGCCCTGTGAGATCTCAACCCTAAATCCAATTTTGGGGCTGTTTGGAGTCAATATCTCCAGCCTAAAGCTTCTCACTTTGTATTTAATTATTCAACCAGAAATATTGCTTGGCAATCATAGAATTTAGGGGTTAGAATGGACCTTACAGATCAGTCCCAAACCCCTGCCCTGGGCAGGGACATCTCCTCACTATCAGGAGCAACCATCAGGTTGCTCAAGGCTCATCCAACCTGGTCTTGAACACCTCCAGGGTTGGGGCAGCCACAGCCTCCCTGGGCAACCTGTGCCAGTGTCTCACCACCCTCACAGGGAAAAACTTTTTTCTCACATCCAACCTAGACTTTCCCTCCTTCAGTTTGATATGATTCTATGATCTCAGATTTTCTCAAAGGTCTCTTTTAGTTAATTATCCCCCATTAGCAAACACTTTAGCTCGCCTGGTTTGCTCCTGTACTAAGATTAAGCAGCAAAAAGGATAAAAATGTCATTATGAGAAGCCCATTATAGATGTGAAAGCACTAAATATAAATAGCTGGGGAAAAAAAAAGGTTTTTCTTTCTAAAGAAATTAAATATCACTTCCACAGAGCTTTTCTCGTGCTGCTGTGATAGCATGACATTTGACAAAGTCTGAGGCACTTACCAAGCCCTGACCCCTTGTCAAGTCTGGGGAAATATTTTGTGTTGAAAGCAGCTCTGATGATCTATCACCCTTTCATCTTTTTAATGTGGCAGGACAAGTTCCAAACGATCAAATTATCTGGAATTACTTGCACCTATGAAGTGAACATCTCGCGGCGAGAGCTGCTGCCATCAGCTCTGTGAGCAGTTTGGGATCTGCTAAAGCAAAGTTTTCGAGGGACCTGTGACTAACCTTTTTACTCCAGACCAAGAACTCCCAAAATAAGCTTTGCCTTTTATTTTCTGAAATGTTGCTGCTGGGCAAAGCAGGCACTGGGGATGTCACTTCTTCATTCTAAGCCACCCATGCAAGAGAAGCAGCTTGTGGGAAGTTCAGCCTGAGCAATTTGCTAATGGCCCAAGTCTAAATTCAGGA